TCTCACCACGAGAATCGTCTCGCTCTTCCACAACTCCGGCACCGATCCGCCCAATTCTTTGACTCACTCATCACATCGAGACCCAGATATTCAGCATTAAGTACAAGGCCACGCCACCGTTCCTCAACACTCCAGGAGAGTGAGCCGATGGAAGTGGAGTAGGAAGCGGAAGGACAGAGCGGCCAATGTGTATTTTAGGCCGAGCAGGGCCATCTAAGACATATGCGGATAACTTAGAGCGATCGCCAAAGTAAAGCCAGTGCAGCAGTGTGGGAAAGGATGGAGGATGAGGAAGAGGGATTTGCGCCGAGGGGAGCCGAATCGGGACGTTATGAGGCGAGGAGTACGGCGGGCAGGCCAGCGGAAAGGCGTCCATGGAGGATCGAACTTGGGGGTGATGGATGGCATGAAGAGAGAAAGATTAGATGTGGGAGCAAAGAGTGCACGAAATAACGTGGACTGGGTAGAAGAAACTCAGAATGTAACTAAGCCCATGTGCTTGAGTGGAACTGCGGCGAGATAAGCGAAGCCACATACCAGAAGGACGCGGGACTGGGTCCTCTGAAATATCGAAGGAGTTGGTGCACTGATCCTCCGACGAGCGTCTGGTATGATACCCGCGTAACTTCCCCTGCGGGTTTCTAAAGGGTACCCTGTCACGTTGGTCGTGAGCATGGCCAGTTGACGCCTACCAGGCGGCGGAACCTCCACTTGTATCGGCTGAGGTATCACTGATTTTGGAATTAAGCTGTTCATGCCATCCCAGCATACCAGTAGACTCACGAACTGCGCAGGTGGCTACTTGAGGCCGATTCCAATACAGTGGAGCGAGTTGATTTAGCTGATGGACAACATAACGGACTGGAATTTCTTTTAGGCCAGGATCCTGAGGGAGGTCGAAGTTGAACTCGGGCGCAACTCCCTCGTTTTCACAAGGACGCTCATCATGCGTGTTTCCCATGCAATAGCCTCGTCTACTCAACTGACCAAGGCCCCTTCAAAGAGCGTCAAGGGAAGCCAGGAAGGAGCCCAGTGGGAGAGCTTTAAGGCTTTGTTATGCGTCTCAAGATAGGAGGTGGGTTGTGCCGCGCACTATGCTGGCAGCTCAGAACAAAGAGAGACCTGCCAGCTTGAAGTTATGAATATGCCCCGGCTAGTTGTATGAGTTTAAATTGATCCCTAGCAGAGCCTGCAACGGTCGCTGGTGTATATTTAAGTTGAGCGGGGACCTCGGTGGGCAAGCGGTGAAGAACCCAAGCAGCCTGGAGGCGCCCCATCACGGCTGGCGTCCAACATGATATACTCATACATATGGTTCCGAGAAACAAAAATGATTAACGCCGCAGTAAAAGCCCAGAGAGAGAACAGCGCAGACAGAACGGAGAAAGGACCAGTGGGCACGAATACTGTGGTTGAGCGTCACTCTCACTTTCCTCCACACCGGATTTTGAGTGGCCCGAGCGATGATATCACACGCACTTTCCTCTTCCGACTAATCTGCGTGCATGTCAACGTACGGCTACATTATTCATTCCAACCGACAGGCAGAAGGAGATAGGGTATAAGGAAATAAGAGGGGAAAAGACCAATTGTAATACTAAAGCACAGGATAGCGAATGACTGGGGGGTTAATTAAACGAATGAAGTACTGCAAAAGAAGGTTACTTGTCAGATCTAGAGGTAATCGCAGTGAGGACTTCGGGGCTATTCCAGGAAAGGCACACCTACCTATAAAAGGCGATTGAACCAAGGAATACGACCACTCCTGCCCAATGGAGAATGTTCAGAAAGAGTTGACGCCAAATTTCATCCCGAAGGAGGCCAAAAGCATGTGGCCTGTTCTGATTCAGCCGTCAAACAGATACCAAGTATAGCCTTCAAGGCGTCCAAATCTTGATCGTCTGATCTGTACTCCCAGATGCGCACACATTAACGGGGCGATCTTCCTCTACCTTCTCTCCGCTGGTGGTTCCATTTGCTGTAACTTGTCCCGAAGAGGCGCCAATTCCGGCTTTGGTTCGGCCCCAAGCCAGAGCGGTAACAAAGTGGCCATGTGCCTCGACCGTTTTTATGCATCGGCCAGTCTTCAAATCCCAAACACGGATCGTTTTGTCATCCGCTGCGGAGAGAAGCATGGTGCCGCAGGGGTGGAATACGAGTGCCCGGACCCAATTATCATGACCCGCCTGTAGATGAACTCAACTTTTGCCAATCACTGAAAGGTGAAGATAGAGACTAACTAGGTTCTTAATGCATTGGCCACTTGAGGCATCCCATACTTGATCGATTTATCCCTTGATCCGGTTGCGAGAAACTGTCCAGGAAGTTTGACACGGTCGGAAGGCTGCGAATCAAAGGTATGTTAACCGGACTATGGATCTCATCCTCGCGGTCAGTCAGGCTGTGTACGCACCAATGCAGCACCCGAAAGTTCCGATAAGCTCGGATAAGACACGACGGGGGCGAACGTGACAACCTCTAAGTAGTTATCGTGGCCACGTAACTCGATCTTTGTTTCCCCCGTTTGCATATCCCATATACGAGCCGTCTTATAAGCCACCCAAACGCATCAGAGTCATTCAAACCAGGTCCCACATGGCCACTGTACCTGATCATCAGAGCAACTGGCCAACAACCGCCCATCCTCCGATGGAGTGACGCATCTCACCCATTGCGAGTGACCAGTCAAAGTTTTAACACACCAGCCATTTGTTACGTCCCATACTTTGATTGTGAAGTCCCGACTGGAGCTTACGATGAAATCGTCCCCAGGAACAAAGCGAGCGGACGATATGGAGTGATCATGACCGTGCAGCGTTCGAGAGGAGTATTCATTTAGAACGTCCCATATTCTTAAAGTCAAATCTGACGAACACGATACTGCGGGAAGGGGACGATGTTAGAAGTGCACTCGTGAGGATAAGTGCTTCGGAGCCTCACCGAGTCGCGCCCCTTTACTGTCATAATGCACGTCAAGAACCTGACGGGTATGGCCCTTCAGGGTCCGCTCGAACTCGCCAGTCTCCCAATCCCATATCTTGATGGTCGCATCTTCGCTAGCACTTGCGAGGACCGAGTACAATGGGTGAAAGGTGACTCGAAGGACCTGCCCTCGATGGCCCGTCAGAGTGTAGCGTGCGGGCGCGCGAGGGACCCAGTCTGCTTGCGAATTGGATCGCCGAGCAGGGGAAAGAGAGAGCTCTTCTTGAAGCTGCGCATTTCGATTTTCAAGGTCCATAATCTGCAGATGCCCAACGAGTGATCAGGCTTGACCACAGCGCAGGATAGCTGAAAGGAACTCACCCGTTTCTGTAACCGTATCACACTTGTCCATTTCTTCTCCAATAAGCCCTTATACTTTGACGTTTCATCGGGCTTGTGAACTGTCCCACTGTCGGCGAGGAAAGCGGAATAGGAAGCGGTCATATCATGTGAATGAAAATAGTCCAAGATCGACTTATGTCTATTCATAAAATGCGCAAGGAAGCGTGCATGTTCGGTCAGTCATGAATCAAAATATCCTCATAACGCCAAGAACACTGGGACGTCGTTGCGACGCGTTGGAGGGAAGGTTGAGAAGGAAGCATTACACATACAGCTCATCTTTCTGTCGCTCCGATAGAGTTGACATGAGATCAATATATACTGAAGCGACGTAGTGGTCCTGTCTATAAAAGTTCCGTAGTGATGAGTGCGACCACAGACCCGCGCTCGTCAGCGTGAAGTCGATCTCGAGGAAAACATATGTCAACAAGGCAGATGACACTCACACCGTTGTGTTCTTGCTCGGGCGCTGGAATACCCTCGGTAAATGCGCCTGGTCCGGATCATGCGTCAGCAGGAATGGACTCCTGCGCACGCTCAGGAACTGTCATCCAAATTAGTTCGAACCGTCCAACAAGAGCGCTCAGTTTGCACACCGTTATGTATTATACACGAATTACGTGACAACCCCCAGAAACCGTATCGCATGTTTCAAATTCACTATGAATATACCATACCATGAGTGCATAATCTCAAGATGGGGACAAATCTTGATCTATCCCTATTCCTTCTGATTGTTTGTTTGTTTGTTTTATTCTGGATATTTAACCTGCAGAGCTTCGGGCTGCTCGCACGAGCGCCAAGGGCAGGGGTCTCGAGAGAAATACACGCAAATAAAGTAAAAATAACAGGGCATTCCATGAGGATGTGCTCTCGTGTCTCGATGGGTGTGCCGCAGCGGCAGCTTGGGTCTTCGCTAGTTAGGAATCGCTGGTAGTATTGGCCTAGGAAAGCATGTCCGGTGCGTAGTTGGACCAGGCGACTGAAAGTTTTGCGGCTGAGGGTCCTAAAGTGTTTGGAAGGGGAGATTTGTGGCCCGATGCCATTGCAAAGGTAGTATTCCGAACGTCTGAATTGGACAGGGTCAGTGTTCCAACGTTGGGTCCCCACAATCCTGAATTGTGGGAGGGGAGGAAAGAAGGGAAAGGATATAAAGAAAAGAAGAGAAAGGTGGTTCTTCTATCTCGCGTTTGTTTGTCAATGGTCCAACGAGGATGACTTGTTACATATGTGGGCCGTATATTTGTCTATTTGTCAATTACTTATGTAACATCGAACTTCCAGTGTCCCTTGAAATTAATCTTAAAAATCAGTTTACAATATCCTACTAGTAGTAGAAGGCAACTGGTTCACAGACTTTTCCTGAATTTCCGAAGTTGCTTCGGAAATTCGGAAAAGACCGACTGGGTAGGAGTCCAGTCTTATCTCCTGACTTTGCAGTGGTGCCGTCCCTGACACCCCACGACTTATGTAAATATAAAAGGCCGATCTTCCATCGGCGTCAGGAACCTTGTGGTCTGTGACGACCCGCTAGTGGTGTTTACCCGACCTGAGACTTGCATACTGCGGCATTGACCATGGGAACATCCGAGAATAGGGTGACACCATACATGCGGATGCTGAGCTTAACTAGAGCTCCTTTTATGTAAGACCGCGTGAGTCCACCATCGCGCGCGAACCAACGTTCGTCCTCGCTAACCATTTGGAAAGACCGAAATGCAAAGACTCAAAAGATGAGTGGTTGGCAGGATGATCTTATCGGGCAGAAGGTAGACCTGAGGCGGGTTTTCTGGCCAATGGTATCCATTTTCTCGCCATACTGTGTAGTTTTCTCGGGGCTAAACTACCTGGTGAATTGGTTGAGCTTGCGAAGTATTTGTAATGATTGTCATCGCCAATGTAACTTCGTGAGGCATTGACTCACACCTTGCACCAGCCAACCTAGCTAGACATGTCTCCACTGGCATTCTTCAGCATCAAACTGACGTATTATAACATCGAGGGAAATGATACTGCACGCAAGAAAAAAATCAACAAGGTATGAAAAATGCAAGCAGTTTCTACACATCCAGATGTGCAGTCGGCAAATGAATTGATCAGTAGTACCCTTAGTTGCAAACCGCAACCTTATAGGTGAGATGGGCCCCTACAAAAGGTGTCACTAGATGAGGAGCGCATCAGACTGGAACATGGCTCACGATTTGTACCAATGGACGCGACATCAACCGTATGGAACCCAGGAGGGAGTGACCATTGGCCCCAAGAAGCGCCGCCCTAAAGTGAAGATAGATCAGACAAATGAAAGCTTAATCGGACGGCAACACAAACCACAATGCATTTCTCGCCAAGATCCTGAGCTGAACATGCATGAACCTCCCCTCCCCTTGGCTCGCTAGTCCATCCGAGGTCCTTACCATCAATCCTCACGTGAAACTTAGCAATGGGCGCAAATACTCCGGAAATCGTAATCACAGATTCAAACGGATTGTCGACGATAATCTGAGCAGCATTTTCGAAAACAACATAATTCCACCCCTCCACGGTGTAGCTCTCGAGGCATCGGGTATATCGCTGATAAGGTGTCGGAGTTGGCCTAATGGCAACGGTTACGGTAGTGGTGACAGGCTTAACAAAAACCGTTTCAATCTCCCTGACTTTCACAGTGGAAGTGTGGTGGTGGTCAACAGTCCGAGTAATGACGTCATGATGATTGACGGTGCGTGTGACGGTGGTAATGACGGGCTTAGCAAAGACTGTTTCGATATCCCAGACTTTCACAGTGGAAGTGTGGTGGTGGTCAACAGTCCGAGTCACGACGTCATGATGATCGACGATCTGAGTAACGGTAGTGGTAACAGGTTTAGCAAAGACTGTGTCAATCTCCCTGACTTTCACAGTCGAGGTGTGGTGGTGGTCAACGGTCTGAGTGACTACATCGTGATGATCGACGATCCGGGTAACGGTGACAGTGGATGGCTTTTCAACAACAGTGTAGGCATGGGAAGGCGAGTAACTATGAGTGGAAGTAGGTTGATGGCCCAATGTTTTGGTGGGAACGAACGCATTGCGGATCGTGATGTCTCCATCGGGAATTCTCTTGGAGAAAACGGCCCATTCAGGATTCTTATGATGACCGTGGTGATGACCAGCCGCAGTGTAGCACGGAAGTGCAAGAGTGGTTGTGCCCTGATGCTCCCAAGTGACTGCAGAATTGTTAATAAACTACTGCCATGATTGATGGATGTTTCCAACGCACGCAGAGTAGCCCACTTGTCAATGGTGCTTAAACCAGCAATTTGAACATCAGGATACCCACTGGGGGTCACATAGGGCTTCGTTACGATCCATAAAGTGAGCGCGACCAGTCCAGATTCGAGGGTAACACTCACCGGAGGCGAGGTAACGGTTTGATGGACAACCGTCGTCCCATGAACCACAGTAGATGTCGGCTGACACCCAAAAACTCTATCCTGAACGTGTTCTTTAGCGGTATCCACACGTTCTTTGATCTCTTCAACTACTTCAAACGGAACTTGGACGAAACTGTGATCAAACAAGTGGTTATGCCAGTGGTGATCACCCAAAGCGAGCACAGGCAACAGGGCTAAAGACAACACGGCTGAAGCGACCATGATGTCTGGATGGAAGAGGGAAAAAGTAAGGATTCAGGAGGGTGATGTTTGGACTTTATAGGATGGGAAGCGGTGGACCCTGGGCGGTGAAACCGTCTGTCTAAATGCAAAAGCCGGAAGTGGTCTGCCGTGACAGCTTTCTGATGTTGGCAATTTGCAAATAATTATATATTGGGATTGAGCAGACAGTGAGTAGACACACACCAGCCGCGTGTTGAATGAATCCGCGAAGACCGAAACACCTGAGGTTTAGAGCCAAGATACCAACATAGATCCAACGGAGAACGTTGAAGCAACAGCACTCGATCTAGTCGTTGTGGCCAGGGTTGAAGGAGAAACTGCTGGCCCACTGAATAAGATCCAATATTATTTAATGATAGCCTCGTAGTTCATGCATTACATAGTTAAGTAATGCAATCTCCAACAAGTGGGTAGACCCTTCAGTATTCATGAGCACGAAGCAAGCCTCGAGGTGCGGAAAGCTCGTGCTGGACGCATATCTGACAGCACAACAATCGGCGCATCTGGGGCGTGTCCGAAGCAACGAGTGTATTGACAGGTCGGCGATTCAGGATTCCTATCACGTGGAGGTCCTGAATATAATTGTAGCGGAGTTCGCCGGACATATTGTATGGCATCAACTGGGTCATTTGCCCTCTGATGAATCACTCTACTATACATACTATGTATTCATCAGATTTCAACTTATGTAACAGCCTAAGGGCCGTTTCGAGAAAAGAGAGAGAGGAGAGTCTTGGCACTAGTGGTCTCCCAGCCTGTTATGAAAAACTGCCACGCAAGTGTACCTGTGGTGGTGGTTGTGCAAGGCACTGATCTGATCTGGTCGTGATGGCGACCAACCGTTCACAATCACACGACGATGAACGACGTTTTCCCTGACAGCCTGCAAGGTTTCTGCAATGCAAATTCCACGGTCCATGGCCAGCGCCAACAGTTGGATAGCAAGAAGGCAGCTCTAGCTCTGAGCACAAAAGGATGTTCATTACATATATTCATATCATGATCGAATCAGAGGGTTCGCAAATTAATGCACATGCACAATGGCAGCCACATAAATAATGATTATGCATGATATGTGTGCAGAAAAATTTAAATTTTCATTCACTCGCGTTTGTGGGGTATAGTGTGAGCGCTCCTTCGAAGACAGACCAGGAAGAATGTCGTGTCAAGACTAATTTTTTGAGTGCGCTATATAAATCACTGGACAAACATCAAATACATAGTTGTCACGTTTCTTTGCTGGGTCATTTTTTTACCGCAACTAGCCAGCTCACACGAAAATCCGAGGGGGAATAAGTAATATTTTAAGTATGCGCTGCACTTGTACAGTTAATTCCCCATACACTTACCCAGTGCTCAGCCTCCTGGTACTAGCCTCGCCGCTGCTTGCATTCTGCCTCAAATCTCATTGATCAACGTTCTTTCCGATTCGATTGCCTTTCCAGGCGCATGCGCGGAAGCAAATCAAATTACCTTCACTGAACACCTCTTGCAGCGTTTCACGATCCTCTCTTCCTTTTCTGCTCAGACGCGGACAGTCTACAGAAAAATTTCTTTCCATATAGACTTTGTATCATTTGTGTCTACTAGAGCGAATTCTTTTAGAAAACGCTCAGCTGTGGAATTTTGTACTTAGAACCATCGGATGCCGCCGTCCACACCCTCTGCGGGATCCTCTACATCCAACCCGACGTCCATCCAAGTTGGTAAGCGTGCACCTCTTCTTTGCATACCTAGCTTCTTCAATGACTTCTCTCCCTGTTAGCTGTTCGGATACGCCCCCCGACGACCCATGATGCATCCTCGATACCAACTCGCTTCCAACGAACAGTGATTCATCCCTCATCCGCCACGACCCTAACAGTAGACAATGTATCTGGTCCTCCTACTTCCACGGCTGTAGCTGCGCCCCCTTCTCCTGCTGCTTCCTCATCCAAAAAACAAACTTTTGCTTTTGATCAAGTGCATGCACCCGAGGCAACACAATTTCAACTCTTCACGTCCACGGCTGCGCCGCTTGTGTCGCGCTTCGTCGAGGGGTATAACTGCACAATACTTGCATATGGTCAGACATCATCGGGGAAAACGCACTCTATGACTGGGGTCGATTTAGACGCTGACCCAAATGATCCAACCAATGGAATGGGCATAATCCCTCGTGCCATCTCAACTATCTTTGCCAGGGCGAATGAGCTCAAGCGCGAACGCGGCAGCGCATGGCAGTGGAGTCTTAAAGCCTCCTTCATAGAACTTTACAACGAAGATTTGATTGATCTCCTGGCCGTTGGTGACAACGGTATGAAGCAAGACGTCCAGATTCGTGAGGATAAGGATGGTACCATCATATGGGGCGGTCTCAGGGAGATTCCCGTGCGGAGTGCGGCGGATGTCATGGCGTAAGTTGTTAAAATGACCTCGTTCAATGCGCCGACTGATGTTCGTTCAGCATTCTTAAACGTGGTACCGCGCACCGTCGCACAAACGAGACGGATATGAATGCCCAATCTTCCCGTTCCCATGCCATATTTTCAATCACTCTCACTCAGAAGAAATTCAACGGAACTATAACCCCATCTTTCCGGAACGGTCGTTCGTCGCCGATGCCTCCATCTACTCCGTCTCCCTCCAAAATTGCACGGCCCGGTTCTATGGTAATTGGCTCAAGCCGTGTTTCTTCTCCTACCTTTGGCCGGGCGCCGACACCAAGCTTTGCCGCTGCTATGTCGCGTGGTGGATTGAGGCCTTCCAGCGCATTGGGAATGCGTCCTCGCACTCCTGAAGTCGATGAACCCTCCGGAGAGTGGGTTACAGTTGTTTCCAAGTTCCACTTCGTGGATCTTGCTGGAAGTGAACGGGTGAGTTGCCAGGTCTACAGGGGAGACCGAACATTAATTTCCGTTCCCAGCTCAAACGGACTGCAGCACAGGGCGACCGTGTTAAGGAAGGTATATCCATTAATAGCGGATTACTCGCCCTTGGGAACGTCATTTCTGCCCTCGGTGATCCTTCACGGGCCCGTACCATCGGGAACGGCACTGCGATTCACGTACCTTACCGTGACTCCAAACTCACTCGTCTCCTTCAAGATTCTCTCGGAGGAAATGCTCATACCCTCATGATAGCCTGCGTCTCGCCCGCAGAGTGGAATGTTGGTGAGACTGTCAATACCCTCAAATATGCAAACCGAGCACGCAACATTAAAAATAAGGCTGAGATTCGTGAGAAAGAAGATGGATGGGACGATCTGGAGTGGTTGCAAACGATGGTCACCAAGCTTAGGAAGGAACTCAAGGCCTTGAAGGAAGGTGCCGTAACCCCCGTAACAGATACTGAACCTCCTACTCCGACTATTGGTGCGCTTCCAGATAAGGGTGCTGCGAAGGTACTTCGACAGTATGGCGAATTACAGGGGCAGTACCAGCAGCTTAGACGGGAGTTTGTTGAGCGAAATGAGGAACTCGCACGGTTGCGCACTGAGATTGAGGAGAGGAATGCTCCCGTTGCTGGGATGAGCCGTCGGTACGAGGAAATTGTAGGTCCTGTCATCGAGGAGTATGAGAAAACTATTACGGCCATGGAGACGGAGTTAAAGTTGAGTCGAACTGCTTTGGTGAGCCGGATGATCGCTTTCAGTGATTCTGGCCACTAATTTGTTGAACAGGAACACACCAATGAGATGTTCTCAGAACAAGAGAGTGAGTTGGCGGTGCACAAGGAGCGCACGGCCAACGCAGATGGATATATCGAGGCACTCCGTGCCAGGGTTGGGAAGTTAGCTGAAAGGGAGGCTTCCACCGAAGTAAGCTGCCCAACTATCCCCGCGCCCCGACTTCAGCGAATCGTTTACCCGGTCCTGTAGGTTTACGTGCGCGATCTCGAAGCGAAGCTTAAGGTGTTTGCTGACTCGACTACCGCTCATGATGACTCAATTGTCGAGCTCCATAAAGAGATAACTCAATATAAAGAAGCGGAGGCTGCATCGGCAGCGTACATCGCTGGTTTGGAACAGCGACTCGCGTCCGCCGATGTGGACATTGTTTCTCTTCGGACTCAAATTGAGAAGCTCGAGACTGACCTTTACGAAAAGAACGGGATGGTTGCCTCATTGCAAGGTCGTCTGGATAATCTATTGCGAGAACAGGCGGATGCAGCGAGCTGGAAGGAGAGTCTCGCGGAACGTGAAAAACGTGTCGAGGAATTAGAGAAGAAAATGGAAGAGTGGGAGAAGGTTCGAGCGGAAACGGCCGAGGAACGCCGACGTCTCAGCAGCGTCGTCAGCGAGGTGGCATCCGCCCGTCAGTCTCTGGAGGCTGAGGTCAACTCAATAGACATTCCACGACTTCATCTTCCTTCATCCCCTACGACTAGCGTTTCAACGGTCCATGGCTCAAGTTCAGCAGAACAGGAAGTACTCGCCCTTCAGCAGAAGCACTCTGCCACTTTGTCCGAGTTGGAAGAAGTCAGTTCCAAGTATCGCGATGCGCTTCGTGAGATTGCGGACTTATCCGCCCAGATCTCTGAAGCCAAGTTGAACTCGGAAACTTCGTCAGAGGTCGGGTCCGAAGCGGGCGGGAGCCGGATGGTCCCTCGCACACCATCTACAGGTCGAAGACCGCTTCCTCGCCGTGAGACCGTCGATGGGTTGGGCATCCTTAGCATCCCACCTTCACCGAGCGCAGGAACTTCGCGAAGGGGGTTTTTCAGGCACGCGGCCTCCACAGAGGGGCTCCATTCGAGGTAAGCAGTTTCGGCTTAGCTACATCATTTCCCCTTTTCATTCGTAGGCTACCCTCACAGGTCGCTGTCGCAATCACAATCGCTTTCATCGGAGCTCTACTCGGCGCCGTATTCAAGGACCTCATGGGCACAAGGTGACAGTCTCTTGAGTCCTTCGTCTACCTTCCCCCCCAAGGCCTTGCTTCGCCGAGACTCTTCTCCTCAGGAGAGTGGACGTTCTGTAGAGAGCCTCGAGAAAGAAATTCAACGCTTGCAGGAGGTAGGGTCATTGCCATCTACCTCAAACTGTGAAACTGACACATGATGTGCAGGTCCTCAAGGACCGGGAAAATGAGATCAGCATTCTGGAAAAGAGTCTTGCGAGTCCCAATGGGAATGCACTCCATGACGTTCAGGAGGAGGTGGAGCATTCGACCATTTCTGCAGCTGGAGATGGCGAGTTATCTCCTGGTGCACAAGAACGCTTCGACAGGATGAAACAGACCGTCCTTCTGGACAGTAGGCGGGAAGCCGAAGAGAAAGAAGCCGAGTCTATTCGGAGACTTGACGAGCTAATGAGGTACAACCTGGGCTTCAAGATAGATCATCAAACCTGACATTTTTTTAGGTCAATGGCACAAAAGGAATCACAACACGTTGCCATCGTGGATCATCTCAATGAGGAGCTTGCCAATCTTCGTCGCGAACATGATGAATTGATCGGTTCGACCCACCTCCAAGTATGTGTCTTTTTCCATTGAAGTATCCTTGTTTCTGACCGTGCCTCCCCAGATGAAAGCGCACTCTGAAAGAAATGCAACTCTAACTGCTGATCTGGCCGAACTACGCTCGCAGCTCTCCACGTCACAAGAACAGAATAAAGACGTTGTAGAAAAGCTAACGAAGTTGCGGCAAAGAGAGACGGAACTACTTGAGACTCGTCGTATCGTGGAGGAGGCTCATACGAAGGAGTTGGAGGGCCTCCGTAATATGCAGGCCATAGAGCTTCAGGGCCATGAAAAGGAGAGGAACGAATTGAAGTCTCGACATGAAGCTGAGTTTCAGCAGTTGAAGTCCTCGTACAGGGACGAAGTCAGCGCTCTTGAGGTCGCTACCAAACAGCACGCCAGTGAGAACAGGGCCTCCTTGGACGAACTAAGAAAAACACACGAAGAAGCCGTCTCGGCTCTCAAATCCCAGCACGAGGGATTACTGAAACAGCGTGCAAGCGAATCTTCTGCCATGGCGGACAAAGTCAGGGCGGATCATGAGCGTGCCATTGTACTTTTAACTGCGGAAAGAGGGGAAGCGCTACGGAGACAGATGGAGCAATCTGACAAAACTATCAACCGTCTCCGTGAGGATCATGAGGCCAAAATCAAGCGGATCAACACTGTACGCGAGGGTATTCTCACAGAATCTCAGGAACAGCAAGCAGCCGTTATCGAGGAGCTTCAGGATCAGCACAAAGCAACCATCGATCGCAAGGAAGCGGATTTCAAATCAGACCTTGAGCGTGCAAAGCTCGAGTATCAGCGGGATCTTGGTGCCCGTGACGAGGACCACTCGAGAGAAATAGCTCAACTCCTTTCAGAGCACACCCACCACGCTTCTCAATTAGCAGAAGAATTGGATGCAGCCAAGGCCCAGCACTCCATTGGGCTTGCAGAGTTGTCGAAGAAGCATGACGATATATTGCAAGAGCTCAGTCTCAAGCATCAGTGCAAGCTTGAAGATCTGCGAAATGCTCATGAAGAGGAAGTCGAGCGTTTCTCACATCAAGTCATGGATTTGCGTAACTACCACGACACCATGGTCTCCAACCATGCCATTTCACTTGAACGTGCCGCGACGGCCGCGAGCGAGAAACACGAGAAAGAAAAGGAGAGTCTCCTTGCAGAACATGCTCTTGCAATCAACGTACTCAGAGCCGATCACCAAGCGACCATCGCTGAGGTCAATGAGTCGCTGACCGCTGCAGAGGAGGAACATCAGCAAGACGTGGCTGCGCTTCGACAAGCGAATGACGCCGTTCTTGTTCAAGAGCGTGAGCGTCGTCTGGTGACGCTTGCTGAACGAGATGCTATTCACGGTCGAGAGCGAGAGTCCCTGCTCAAGGATGTCACCATGCTCAAGGTGCAGCTGACGGAGGCAAAGACGTCAATTGCAAGAGCAGAACGGGACTTCTCTTCACAAAACTCAGCCCAAACCGTTCTTTTAGAAGAGAAGGTAACCAAGATGGAGGAACTGCGACGCAACCTAGAGACGGTTAGGGAAGAGCATGCGTCCAGCTTGCGGGCAATTACAGACCTCCGTGAGGAGTTGGGAAGGAGCCACAAGGATGTTTCATTGCTTACCCAGGATCTCACCAAATCCCGGTCACTCGCTTCGGAGCTGGAGGAACATCGATCTGCCCTTGGTGATGCCCGAAGTGAACTTCAGCGAACAAAGACTGAGGTAGAAACTCTGCGAGAGGAGAAGTCGCGACAAGATCAAATTCTCCGGGATCTTCAGGCCCAGCTGTCCAATGCGAAGAATTCGAGGTCCCCAATTGAAGACGCGACCCCCAGTCTGTCTGAGCGACCACAAGCCCATCGTCTAGGCAGCCTTCCACCAGCAAAATTACCACCGCTCACTCCTCCGCCTTCTATCCCGCCTCCCCCAGTTCCAACATCTATTCCCGCTGTCCCTTCAGTACCTACCGATTCCAGTACTACGACCATGTCACGCTCATCTCATGGTTCGCGACCATCCCTGGACGACTCGGTATCTGGACGTTCGACCCCTTCTACCTCACTCATGGTGCATGGCGCAAACGTGGAGAAGTTGCAAGTTCAGGTCATTGAACAGCACCACATGATTGAAGAGCAAGAAATAATGATTCGGACACTGAATAAGCAGCTGACACATTGTGAAAGTGATCTGCAAGCTCATATGGATCTTGTGGCAACCTTGGAAACATCGTTGACGGACTCAGAGCGGAACCGTGAGTTGAATATGTTTCGTCTGGGGTCTCAATCTTACAAGATTTCTCCGTTTTCTCCATGCACCGACACAAGTTCGCAAGAGCCGCATGCAAGCCAACGAGTATGCGAAGGATCGTGATGCTTTGAACGAAGGGATCGAGGCGTTAAGGGCTGAACTGCAGCGTTCACAGCAAGAAGTCTTAAATGCTCGTCGATCAGTTCTCGAGGAAAAGGAGCAATATGAAACAAGACTAGAAGAGGAGCGACGTGCCAAGGAGCGGACGAGGGCTCAGCTAGAAAGTCGTATGGATGAGATTCAGAGGCGGAAGTCCAAATTCGTTTGCTTGTGACCCTCCCCGTAACGATATATCCACCTTTTGGGCAGCTACCCCTTACACTTGATATCCACACATACACCTCTGCCGTCATGTGGGCCTACCGATGGCTGCACATTCGGCAGTTAAGTCTCCCTGCCGGATCCCCATAGCTTTCGCCCACAAGGGCACATTCTCCCATTGGTTTATCCCTTAGTTTGGAGCCCCGGAGTTGCACTGCTGACGCATTTTGTCATTCTTCATTTGGTGGAGGCTGGATTCCCACTGCACTTTACATTATTTAATCCTAAGTGGCTCGAGATTTTCCATAACCTTTGTACATAGTACTTATCTATCACTATGCCATGCCAGATAATGAGATATGTTTTATGAGGACTTGTCGGAGAGTATAGCTAAATGTGATCGCGACCTAAATAAAAAATAGAATGCTGTGGCTTAACTGCGGTATTCAATGTAAGTGGCCACACCGCACGTTGCTGACACGGGCGTATGCCCACTGACAAAAGCCGAATACTACATAGGGCAGTTCAATCCTTGCACATTACGCTGAGGAAAATAGAAAACTTCGGTGCGGAATGGGTACGTTTGGTTGCTATTATACCCTGGCGACGTAAATTGAGATTCTCTCCATGACTGCAGCATTCGGCTATAGACGTGTTCGCGTTTAACGTCTTTGGCACCGAGAAATATCTTGAATCTGACTCCCAGAATTTAGTGCCAACAATTTTCTACAGCGCTCCTATTAGTGGCGATGCGTTTCACTAGTAATCTACACGTATGTCCCGCCATATTCGGCGACTTTGCGATGACTCGAAGACAGACCCAATGATTCCTGTTGTGTTTGAGTGTACGCAACTACTTGCGCCGCTGAGCTGTCATGCGACCGCCAGGTGACAAGAACTAGGCTCGCCACATATACCCATCTGATCGAGGCTCATATTGCATGGTGGCAAGCATATATCGAGAAAAATCCCTGACTTCGACGAACATCTCTCTCTCTCTCTCTGACTAAAGTCGAACTGAAACTCCCCTCAATTGGTAGTGAACTTCCTATTGGTCTTCAGCGGGAAAAACTGTTATGCAGCAAAGATCTCTAAGTGCTGTATCCTACGCATCCGAGGCTGCTGTTAGCGATACGACACTGTCTATCATGTCACTGAAGCAAAAAATCGAAGCCGCCCTTGTCTCAGGCGGTGGAATGGCAATACCGATTCTTACAGCTGTCAATTCCGCATCGGACACATTCCCTCTAAAAGTGCCACAGGAGGGGCTTTATTCATTGCGGACGCAGTGAAGGTGAGTTTGATCCGTAACGACGTGAGTTATGAGTGGAATCTCCCGACGTGTATTTTACAGAGGTTTAAAACAAGAAACAACGGGAAGATTTCGGCCAGCATGCGGCGGACATGGTAGTTGATGTAGGCTTAAGCCTCAAGTCTTATGAAGCGGTGGCGGCGGAAGCACAACCGTGGGTTGGTAGCATTCGGCGGCTTGATCTGTAAGTAGGTCAGCCCTCCTAACAAATTCATCGGACGGTGACAACGACACCTCTAAGCGTGCTTCAGGATATTAAGTCAAATATTGAGCAAAGGCTTGAAAAACTGGAGGCGCGATCTTCTTTCCGTAACGTGATATCCTACATGCGAGACCCAGGACCGATTGACGATGTAAGGAACGATCTAGGCAAGGCATTAGCATCATTCCAGGCTAGCGTTTTCCAGCAGTCATATTGAAGAGCAATTCTGGCGTTGAAGGCGATTGTAGCTTCGCGCCAGCCTGAGAGTTGGCATAAAACTGACGGACTTGGGTTCGTTAAAATTAACCCAAATGCTGTGATCATGCTGAGAGAACGAGTACTGAGCAAGAGCTCGATCAACTCAAGTATGCCGACCTAGCTCATCACGACTCTACTGCAGTATGCCAGGAAGGCACTAAATGAGGAAACCCGAGTGATGCTACTGTCTGCCACTGCTGGCGCCGGGAAATCGGCCGTTGCACACTCAATCGCAGAGAAATGCACCGATCAAGGGATTCTTCTCTCAAGTTAGGGCGGGTGAGCAGCCCCGGCCAGACCATTTGTTTAGTGGCATGACAAGAACATTGGCTGAGTAAAGCCCGCTTCATCACAGTATCCACGCTCAAGAAGGATCCCACGCTATCGACAGCCCCATTCAAGATGCAGCTCAGACCCCCACCGGCGGATCATCCAATGGTTGTCGTTATTGACGGTCTCGACGAATGCGAGAAGGATGCATTCGAGACATTTGCCAACACCCTTCGAAAGGAGGTTCCCCAATTACCGCGTTCTGTGAAATTCTTCGTCACATCAAGACATTTTGATCTTGTCCAACGTTACCTCTCACCCTCAGTCGCCTCACTATTAACCTCCTGGATGAAGGACTGTGCCTCATTTGTTCGTTCACAGCTGAATGAATTGGAGACGCATCCAACCTTAGTATACGACGTCGATGAAGAGCTCTTGGCTCAACAGATTACCGCTCGCTCCAATGGACCCTTTGGATGGATCAGCACCGTGTTCATCTTCCTCAAAACAAAGGGGAAGTCTCCGATGACTACACTGAGAAAACTAGTTGACATGAGTTCTGATCCTGGCAGAATCCCGGCTGAGCGGATGATGGATAGACTGTATGCGTCAATCTTAGAGAAATGTGACTGGGAAGATGATGATTTGGTGCATGATTACCCAATCGTGATGGGGGCCCTCTTGGCTGCTTCACGGCCGCTGTCTGTTACGGCGTGGGACATCATTCTATCAACTCTCCTATTCAAACTACCCTCGCTGAACTTAGCCCACTCCTTTTGGGAACTCAAGAACCTCACACGCCGATTCGCATTTTGCATCAGTCATTCCGCGACTTCGTCATGGATTGTTCTGAGTCACGATCATCCACTTTTCAGCAACATGTGAGTGATACAACCATGGACAATGAAAGGATGGCACTGCGAGGTCTCCAGACCCTGAATGAGAAGTTATGTCGCGTCGAAAGCCTTGGAGTGGTCAGCGATATATCTCCGCAAGATGGTACATGCGCTGTTGATTCTGTCAAAACAACTCTCCATCGGTGGAAGGCACTGGATGCAGGTACTGAGTCATTGTCGTGCTTTATTCCCAGTATCACGGTGCCTACGCGGAGCGACTGGAACAGCCGTCATCCTTAGTCGTGAGCGTACTGGAGGACCTTGGAAGACATGAAGAGTGCTGTGGCTACGCGTAAGGGATGTGAATGCACGGAATTATGGTTGTACCTTCGCATTCAAACCACATCGGGTACATACTCTCATGTACAAGGTATCCAGAAACCGTACATGTTTCAGTAGAGCTTCACATTCTCTGTGCACTGTTGCATTATGTACGGATTAACAATGCTCATAGAATGACGTAGATGAGAAGTTTCATCTATACATGCTGGGCATAATTATTCCACGGTTAGCACAAAAGTGCTGGCCGCAGTATATGATGCAGCTATATAATAAAATGATGCGGGAAGGGTACTTGTGGTCGGATTGGATCAAGGACAGGCAACGTCAAGTCGCTACAGCGGCATACAAACAAGCGCGTGAACCCGTATGCACAGGGGCTAATCAGGGTTGGGCCCTACCACTGAACTTGGGCCAGCGAACAATGACAACAGAAGTTGATAGCCGATGACTGATGGTTAGATCCGAGGTTGCGAAGTTCGTGATAACAAAGGCAATGTCGGTATGCACATGCTCAGCTGTGAATCCATCTTTTTTCATGAAGGATTAGGCATTATAATACTGAACAATAGAGAATGATCATCCATTCAACACCGCATCGGAAATAAGCTGAACCTACCATTGAGAACTAATCTAAGGGATAAAAATGCGCGAATAGCCCTCCACACTGTACAGAGATAAGTCGGAGTGCTCCATTCAGCGCTAAATTGGCGGCAAAGTGGCACATAACTCACGTCTGCCGACAACAAGGGCAAGTATGCTTTCCACTACTACTCCTTGCTGCCAAACCACTCCGACATTCATCGCAAAGTGCCAGACACCTGCACGGCCAAAAAATAACTACTCTGGGCTCCACCGTACATATCACACAATTGAATCGTAAGGGATCGTTCTCCTGTTCTGATGGAGGACGGCGAGCTTGCCGAAGGGCGAGTGTGGAAGAAAGGAGGGAATATCCACTGCGTGTCAAGGCTCGTGGAGGCGAAGTTGGAACATCGTGTCGGTGTCCAGGCGAGGAGAGGCGTGCTAGAAGCGCTGAAGCCTCAGACAGAGAGAGGTCCGATATGAGGGCACCTAATTCAGATGCGTCCGGAAGCTCGTTATCAAATGGGGTTGTCTCCCGGCTGGGAATTGCGAAGCGGGGAGCGTTTGCAACATGAGGTGAACGATCAACAGATGAATTAGTGGATGTGACAGATCGTCGGGTATCGTCGCCCTCGTCACTATCGTCCGTTGTCCATCCGCTCTCACTCGTGTCGTGTCCCAAGTCAGGAACGTACTCATCATCATCATCCTCTTCGTTATCAATTCCCCTTGCTACATCCACAGGTAATCTGCTGTCCTCAGCATGCCTGTCGCTCGAACGTGGCGGCGACATTCTCCCTAAAATACCCCACAGAACACTTGTCGTTGCAGCCCTCAGCTCCCTCCTCTCGTCCTCGTTCATTGCCCGCGCCTCATCCCTTCCCCGACTGCCCAATAGATTCCTCACAAACCTTACCTGCCATATCACAAACCCAATCCACCACATCTTCAAACTTCTTAATAATCCACGAACCTCAGGATGGTGGGCGGATCCAAACCAGTAACCTCCTATAGATGGACTTGGAGGCATAAATGATGGTGAGATTTGAGAGTCAGAGGAGGAAGGATTTAACGGCGCGGGACCGGAGAAAACTGTAGGTCCAGATGAGGTGCCAAGCAAAGGAAGTACACGTTGTATTTCGTTCCCAAATCCTCTCCGTGAACGACCCCTCTGCAATAAAGTATACCCGTTCCGGCCGATCGTTCCTGCTGACGAAGTGTTCAGCGCACCATTTGAAGGGCTTTCGGAAGGCAGGACGACCTCACTAGGGCCCAACCTCAGTACATCCTTCTCCTTTGCATCATCATTCTCCAACAATGAAGTACGCCTAACACCCACTACTTCATTGGCGAGCCCCACGAAATTTGTCGCATCCAAACATGCCATTCCGACCTTTGCTAGCGCCTCGCTGAACTGATCAGAGTGCGAAAGGAGGGACATACCCGGCACTGCCGTACTCCATGAAGATGGTGCGAGCCATGACATGCTGGGGGACGGAGGAGACAGAAGCAGGCGGGTTAGGATATCGAGAGTGTGTGTGATGAAAATGATAGAGAGGAGAAAAGTTTCGACAAGCGTTGTTGCGAAGGAGGGATACGGATGTGAAGTAGGATTCGTTATCAGTGTGTAGATGAAATGGATCTGTAAATTCGAACATAAAACGAATGCTGGATGTGTCTCCGTCAGATCTACGTACTATGCCCGCAATGCCACAGACGCTCGACGGTATAAGTCTGTAGTCACCCCATTCTCTCTTGACGTTCATTACATGCAGAACGGTTATCTAAGGCGCCAAAATACGCTCTAAGAGTGGAAACCTCTGCAAGCAGGTTCGGAAGTAACTTGCCTGTAGCAGCGGAAGAATGAGTATAAGAAGGACATCTCGATTTGGACGCATAACTAATCCTGGCTCGTCGGTCTCATTACGATATAATCCAGGAGCAGAGAATGCGTGCAATGTACATGCGTATCCGAACTTGACGAGGGAGTTAGTAGGAACAACATTATGAAAGTGTCTGGTTTTTGGGACACCTACGAGATTAAAATGGGGCGGACTTCGCGTTCTATATCAAAGACCTCCGGAATATCAGAAACATAGTTTCCACCGGGAAAGTAAGTTGGTTTCACCTTCCTTCAAGTCCAGCGATAATAGCACCAACCACCATAATCCCGCATGCGCTCATGAATGCACTCCAGCAAATGCTGCCCATATCCTTTCCCAAAGCCCATTGGGCTACCTGATTCGCCACTTCACCCCCATTGATGTTCCAGCTGCCAAGTCTGAAGGCTAATTTTGATCCCCAGTGGACGATAGAAGTATACAAGCCAGTCACCTGAAGAAGGGTGATAAAGAGTAAAGAAAGGGAGCGAAAAGCATACAACAGGGAGGGTGTTGATATTATGAGTCTAGTCGGAACACGGTGCAGGTTGAGCGGAAAGAGAGCGACACGCAGGATGTAGACGAACATGACCACTTTATGGATGACACGTCGCAGCAAAGATGCATCACGTTGGGAGGGGCTCTGGGAGTGGGAGGGTCGGTGCCGAGAGGCACGAGCGTCGAAGGTGATGCGTGGAGGAATGACAATATGCTGAATCCGATTGAGTAGAAGTAACTTATGTCACGAGCGAGGAATACAAGGTGCCAAGTAGCGTAATGGGATGTGAGTCGTTCATCAGGAAGGAGCTAAGAGGTTCGAACATACCATGATGACCATGACCACAGCATACCAACTCGCAAACACGCTCGTGGAACGAAAGACCTCTTCCATACTATCAGTTTTCTGGCCCAAGCCGCTAGCAGACGTGTTTCCCGAGAGTGCCCCAGAAGTGGGTATGTGTGTAGTGTAACGACTCCATCTCCAGTGCCGGTAAATCGGCAGCCGTCCACCAAGCCACCGCTCTACATTGGACCATCCTTCTGACAATGTCCGCCGTATAAGCTCACCGGGAGCATTAAATACGCCTATCGCATGCCCGGGTGTGGCCTGTTGAGCTAATGATAAATCTATGTTCTGTAACGCTACCGTTGTCGACATCGACCACCATCAAACTCCGGTTATATGTAAGTAGGTTGTTTGGGGAATTACGAGGTGTGAGTGTGACCTTGTGACTGTTGGGCGTGGGAAATTGAATGGTGCGAGCATTCATTTACATAAGGTTACATGTCTGTGAACTAAGTATCTGTGAAGAAACTTGTACACTCGCTTCCTTCGCCGTCCCTTAGGGTCGGTTGCTGTGAATCCGTGGCGAGTTCCATGGCGGCGCCGGAATGGTTTGCCGATGAACGTTGAATAGCGCGCGTGGGGACCTAGGCAGGTTAGGACTAGGCTACCAGGTGGGGAACCGTCCTTTGGACAAAGGCATGCTGTTTGCCCTACTAGACAATTGGGTACCAGGTGAGTGATTGCTAAGACTCCTCTCGCAGTCAACGGGAATGTTCATGCCAACATCCTTAGGCCTAAGTCATCATTCGCATTTCTCAGCTAGCTGTATTATACATTCTCGGCCACGTAGGCGGCCAGCAATCGAAATCCCTCCACTTCAAAATCCTTCTGACCCTGAATTCCTGATTGTGCTGAATCTCCACCCTTGTTCGTGCGAAGTTTGGGAAGGCAAAAACAATCACAAATGCACATTACAGATGACTGACCGGTACTGAGAAATGAGCAATATGGTTTGACAGTAAATAATGAGAAAACGGGGATGGAATATAGCAACGTGAAAGGCACAAATCAATCGTGAAAGGGTGATCGTAATAATGCATGAAGAATCGTGCGGCGGCCATCCGGTCTTTATGACGGCATGACCCCTGATATCGGGGGACGAGAAGAACCTCGACGTGAAGATTTTCGAATAGACGAAGGAATAAACCTTTCACCAAATCGCCGCTTGGGAGTAATGGGTGGTCCTCCGATCTGCCCGTTCCTCTCTGACAACCCGGTTTGTATACGACGGATGGCAATACCACCTTCCTCCTGCGAGAAGTCGAACCCTCGAGAAGGCGACATCTCCAGCCCCGTCGACATGTCCGTCCGTTGGCCAGCCGGTCCACGGAAGGATGCCTGGCTGGCGGGTCGGTTTGGCAATCGAATGACGTTCGACTGACTTTCTGGGTCCCCAGCATCCAAAGGTCGTAACGTCCCGTCTTCAGCCCAACGTTGACCAATGAGCGGATGACTGGCAAGGTCGAGGTCAGGATGGTCCCGTCGAACAACCCTCATGATGTCAATGTCATTTGGATAATAAAGCATGCGATATGCCCTCCAGCAGTACCGTGGCGCCATCGCAATGAAGAAGGTAAGTATTATTCCAAAGTAGAAATAAGCGGACCGGAACAAGTAGTGATCGTTCCCACTATTAATTTTCCCTTAGATGTCCGCATAATGATAAAAGGCATGTCCCATGCTTACTAGATTGGAGTGTAGAATGTCTTGGGTGGGATAATCGAGTAAATGGCCTGGGGGAAAGTGGGTCAGTGATGTGGAAGAACGAATCGAAAGATTGCGCGTACCGTGTAGACTAAGATGAGGACAACACCGATCGTCACAGCGAAGATTACCCAAGCAGTCCATGCAGAAGTACAGAGAACGTGGAACGCATTTACAACCATGACAGCAGAAATAACCATGGTCTGAAACACGCATCAGCACAATGCGTGCAGGAGTGTGGGATCCCCGAGTACATACCGTGGAGAACTCGTACATGTACACATCATAGCCGTCACCACGAGCTGTGGTGGTTTTGTAGGCATACAGCAAGAGGAAGAAAACCACCGCACTCTGTCAGAACAGAGAATTATGTAGCAACATCCAAACGATCTCGCGGCCAAAATACGAACCTGATATGCACCATCAAGCATGTATGCCAGGAATATTCCGGTGCCGAACCAGACCCTCTCTCTTCCGTAACGGTAGAGCTCAGGGATAGCCATCAGAATGTCACTATCTATAAACCAAAGGGAGGATGAGTGAATTGAAAGGGCGGAAATTCAACAAATTCAGGACAGCGTACCAATATTCCGGTCGAAGATGCCAATGGCAATGACAGGGGCAAGGGACCAGAACACGTTCCAAAAGAGAAGATATGTGTACTCGAAAACGCTAACAAACGCGCAACAATAAGGTGCCAAAAGGGCACACGAAACAAACCACTCACTATGTCGTACTCCAGGCGCAATAGATTTGGAACCACCAAAGAACACCGATACCCATGATATTCTTGTAAAAGAAGTTCACAATCATGTTTGCGTTCCGCGCATAACTCCACTGTCCATGAACGAACAAGAGCCTCTTGAGGAATCTAAACTGTGCAATGGCATAATCCGATGCATTCACGGCTTGAAGACCTTCCTCTCCAGAAATACCCACGCCGACATCGGCAGCTTGGATCATACTGACATCGTTTGCGCCGTCACCTATAGCGAGTGTCATAACGTGCAGCCCGTCCTTCACGAGTCTGACGACGAGTGCTTTTTGAAGCGGAGAAACACGGCAGCAAATAACAGCTTCACAACGCAAAGCCAGCTCAAGAAGCAGATCCTTTGAAAATTCCTCGGCGAAAATCTGCTCCAAAGCAACACCATCGATGACGAGAACAAAACCACCAGGCCTTTCACCGTTATCACGAGCAATAACATCCGAAAGTCCTGTGTTGATTCGGTTGAAGTTCCTTCGACTGGTCACTGGCGCGAGCTCGTCGGACTCAGAGGTTGGCCGCACATTCGGCTTGTCTAGGACGCCTGAATTGGGGAAGAACCGCTCGAAGGACGAAACCATTTGGTTATACGCGGTTTTACCAGGTGTTTCACTTCCTTTGACGACGATAAGATTCGATTCATGGGATATGAGGTTCGTACTATTCCCGATAGCTACAAAGAACCAGTCAGAGAGTATCCTATGAATGAGAACATCAAGACATACCGACGGCGGTCTCCAGTTTATCACCAGTAGCAACCCAGACCCTGATCCCGGCACGCTTTAAATCTGCAATCGTCTCAGGAACACCTTCCTGCAACTTATCCTCAATGGCGGTAGCACCAAGCAAGATTAAATCGCGTTCGATCTCATTCGCAACACGCTCAACATGGGCATCACGATTTTCCAGCTGAACTTGAGCCTCTCGATATTGGTGGTCCCATTCTTCATACTCCTCAGCTACCGGAGGGAAAAAAAAAAGAAGAAACAGGAGCCAGCATCAGAAAAGCATTGTTCAGAAGAAGTTTTACAAATAGATGGACTCACGGCTCACAACCCTGTACGAAAGACAGAGCGTTCTCAACCCTTCGTTTGCAAAAGTGTCCAAATCTTGACCTGTTCTCTCCTTCATCTCCTCTTGATTAGGTCCCAGGCGCTCAAAGATGACCTGATCCGCCCCTTTACACAACAACAGAATAGTGCCAACCCCTTCGCCAGTGCCGGCTCCATCCTCAATCTTCTTCAAAATGACGCTCATTCTCTTCCTCGTAGATGTGAAATCCAACAGGCTCAATGTTTCATACCGATGAGGCTTAGGGGAGGAAGGGGTTTGTAACCGGACGATAGCCGAAGAAGGTTCACGTCCAAGGAAGACGAAACCCACGTCGGCAGCTGCCTGAACGAGGGCAGCCTCATCGGGTGATTGAGCCTTATACGAAATGGCTCTCGTCCCAGGATCCGCACTTGTGAGCACGGTATGACACAATCCAAGCGTAGTAAAGAAACCATTAATCCGCTCATTTCGATCGGTCGTTCTTAAATCATTCAAAAGTTCGGGGTCGTAAAAGTGTGATAGAACGCCTTCGGCAAGTTTGACCGGTGTCAAGTTGACATTATCGTTAATAGCAGGAGGGACGAGCATTCCGCCGGGTTTAACCTGAGGAGCTATCGTGGATGAAGGATCTGCGAGAGTTGGTGCATCAGATGTGAGAGATTGCGCACCACCCGGTGGCGACCCCCGATTCGAACCCCCTTTCGCAGCCAGCCTCTTTTCAGACGAAGATGGGCTTGGTGTCGGTGCGACGGGTGGAGCTTGGCCCTTATAAATCTTGCCACCAATCGAACATTGTCGGAATTCCATGGAGTTCTGCGGAAAGGATATATGGCGACAATGAGTGAATAAATATAAGCCGAAGTCAAAGCGCTCACTTGAGTCAAGGTCCCAGTTTTGTCGGAAAAAATATACTCGATCTGACCCAAATCGTCCGACAAGTTCCAAGTTCTTGCAAGCGTCGGCTGTCCCTCGTCCTCGCTCTGCCCTGGTTTCACATAATACATCTCCGAATCGAAATAGATGAACGCTGCCTGACACGTTCTCACGAATTCGATCGAGATGTAAAGCGAAATGGGCACCACGTTTTGGAAAGTGATGAATGCGTTTGCGAGTGTGACGAGACCGTTGATAGAGGGGTTGTCAGTCGACCGATGATCCAAATAGAGCCAATAAGCACCACGATCAACATAACGGTGCTCAAGGACGGAGTCCACGATGGCACAAACAACTCCCATAGTAGCAAGCATAACGAGGTTGATGAAGCTAAAAGGGGTGCAAAAGATTATCAATCAATCAAAATTACACCGCTTTGCGAGGGAGACTTACACCATAGGATTCATCTGCCTCTCGACACGGCTTCGTTTCGAAGGTGTCACACCCGAATTCATGACAACCTTCGTATCCGTCCCCGTATAGAGTACGATCCCGATCACCCACTCTGTATTCCTCAAAACCGTCCCCCTCAATAACACCGTCTGCAAATCAATAGGACACCGTCGGCCATCGCTCCAAACCACTGCCGCATTCAATTTGTACATGTTCACGTCCGGAGCCTCGGCCTCGATACGAAAGGGATCCTTGGAAATAGACTCAACGATAGCTTGAGGCGAGGCCAGATGAAAAAGTTCCTCAACGGCGCGACGACTCTTTAGATTCGTCTCCCCATCGAGATTCTTCGTCTCCACAAAGGCGATATGTTCCGGTTCCGAAGTGGCACAAATGACGACATCTGCGGGCACCTGATCGTCCGAACGAAGTAAGAGAAAATCTCCCACTTTAACGTCTCCCAGATGGTAGTCTCCCATTGAGTGACATTTGGATCAGAATCGCGACTGGAGGTAAACGGGGATGTGACGCTGGTAAAAGTACCACGACGACTTGGTGGAACACCCGCACCAGGGTGCAAATCTTCCTCGCCAGATTTCTCTTCGGCTTGGTCTAGCAAACCTTTACTTCTGCGGCGTAACGCCTTGGGAATACCAGGTGTAAACGTTTTCTGCTTAGGACCCATTACGTTAGGATTTTGGATCCCTCCTCCGACGAGAGTCAAAGTCTCTGAGTAGTTCACACGATGATCTGACTGATGACGCTTGGCATCTTCGTAGCTATCCTTGATGGCCGTGATGCCCAAAACTACGAGAAGGGGAAAGATGACAAGCCCAGGAGAAATGGTAGCGAATTTTGGGAAGAATTGTAGGATAGCGATAAAAAGGAAGAACCTAACGGAGGGTGGAAAGGGATCATTGTTAATTAGCATTATGATCTCATAATTGAAACCGCTTGATCAGGGGGGATGCTCACACGTTAGCCAAGCGGCGGAATTGCTCGAGGAGGTTTCGCGGCAGGAAAGTGAAAATGGTGTACTTTGAGGTGACGACTTGGTTGGTTACGTAGGTGTTCTCGGGCTTAATTGTCTTTTTGCCTTTCTTTGAGAAGTTATAGGACTCATCGGGGAGGGATTGGCCAATGAAGACGGTTCTTGGTGTCCCAGGTGGCGGGGCACGCTTGAACAAGCTTACGACGTCAAAGTCTGCGAGCTTGTTATAAGCAGTCACGAATCTGGATGGAGCGGAATGTCTCTTGGGTGGCATGGCGGCTAGGAGCCAGAGTAGCGCGGGGCGAAGGTGGCTGAGCCCGTGTTGGACCACTCTTCGCTATGTGAAGAAAGATGGCTGTGAGGGTTTGAGGGGCAGAGACAACCAAGAGCGGTGGGAAGGTGTGAGGCCGTGCTTGAACCTACGGAATCTCGGCCTCCCAAGTCCACAAGACTCCCACGGTTCGGCATTTTAGTCACCCACGTTTTGTCAACCCAGCAGTAACTTGTGATATTATTGTAATCAGGTGTGAGAGCTTACATAGACAATGAGTGCCCGAAATGGCCCAAACTCGACCGGTCCTCCGCCGGAGACAACACCAATCAGGCAACATGATCCGAGCAAAGGCTGGTGCCGTGCAACCACTGCCTCCGACCTAATAGAGGCTGGTAACCTGTGACCCATCCACTTTCTATAGCATTGCTGGATCCCCGCACTCTCTCCCTGAACCGAATCCTTGTCGAGTTACTAGTTGTTCACATGAACGTGTAACCAAACAATATGGATGCCATAGGGTGCCTTCTCCGCTTCGCTGCCAATCTCATTAGCGTTCAACTACATGTGCTACAACGCAACCGGATATTTAAAGCTTACTCTCACTGTCAGTGCTGCCTTCTCCTCCATCAGCTGCTATTTTCAATTCATCTGGCCCGTAATGGGCACCGGCACCCATTTGAATGGTGGCCGGCCCACGTTGTTCACCCAATTATCACGGTTGCCACACACCAGCATCTATCAGCCCCTTGCTTCTGGCTCACTCTGTTCCGGCTCACCTCGCAGAGATTGGCGGTCTTCCGATCCCCTCTGGGACAATAATTTCACATACGTAACATTAACACTCTTTCTAATCGGTCAGTTGAACCGCGCTTGAATTCCAACCGTGGCCGGTCAATATAAATGAATACGTTGAATTCCTTTACCAGTTTCCGCGGGCGATCATCCCTGGCATGTCGTGATACCGATACCTTACATATACTTCGTCCATGTAGTACGTCGCGTACCACTGGAAACAGTACTACATGCCCCAACTTGCAGCCCACTGAAACCCAGCAGCTTTCAACTCGCGATATTGTGTCGCATACTCTCACCCATCAGATTGACTGTAATACATAGTAGCATTCTATGCATCCGCCGCTGCCATCATAAAGCTTCCAATACCCAGGGTCCAGCCCTTTCGAGTCGAGCATCTCCCATTCCGTGACTAGGAACCAAACTCATTTTACCCCACTTATGCGACCGGTTTGAGAAATGTGACTGTGAATGATCTGGCTGTTTGTGAAAGAGCGTGACACCGGGTTGAAAGCAGCCTGCTGGTTTTCAGTGGGTAATAAATCAGGGGAGGGCAGAGTCTCCAGTGACGATTTGTACGCTGATGAAGGAAGTGATGACGTTAGAAGTGGACTGTAGTGAAGTAAAGTATAAACACCCGTCCCAATCATTAACTGGCCTATATGACTACTCCCATCCTTGATGCTCCAAGTTACAATCGAAGCACCGCACTTTACGCAGTATTCTCTCTGAGGACATGCAGCGATAGTAAGCCAGTCAGGGAAGCAAGAGTGCTCATTGTGTGCCAGGGCGACGAGAACAATGCTGAAAACAGAATAATAAGCCAGGAGAGAACCGAGACGACCTGTATGTTTGTAATCATTTCCAGACATTGTCTTGCCAATGTTTCAGCATGGTATGGGAGACAGTCAGGGGAATAGTCAGGCTCAGTCACAATTTAGCGCTGGATGACGCTCTACTGGAAAAGAACCAGCGCAAACCAGGTGGGCGTGCGGAGAGTTCAAATAAATGAAGCAAAATAGAAACACAGAGAAATGTGCATGGCATTCGATCTCTTGAGCCTTTTGTCGATTCTAGGGTGGTGCTGAGATACTTATGCACGAGAGATTTTCGGGGACAAGAGATTGATCGGCTTCTTAACGTTTTCCCGGCTGTGCCTCTCTTGTTCCTCTTGTTGATAATAAGACTCTAAAGATAGAGAATACATCGACTCCGGCTGACGTCACGAATCTATAAGGATTGGACGAATAGACGAATAAGTTCGGCCCACCAGCTGGAACGGCAACATCGTAATCCCTTCAGTGATCCTTCGGCAGAATATTTCAACCAACATAACTCAGCCAATCCATTTTACTTTTACACTCTGATTTGACTCTCACTAGAATCAATTCTTCGGGTTGAGTCGGATCGATGACCGTCGCAACCTGCCGACGTCGACCTCCATCACCGACACCAGTATGTCCTCAAACACTCCTGAAGGGAAGGAGCAAAACCCACTTGTAGTATACACTGCCTCTCTCACGTCCAATCGTGTCCTCGTGCGTCCCACGTCCCTTCATCCGTACGTTCCCGCCTTCGACAATATACAGCTCACTCTGTCATAGTAGCCAGGGTTTGGTGATGGCTCAACTCAGTTCGCCTATACACACCCTAGTATCCCTTCGTCGATTCCTCTGACAATACCCGACCCTGACGTCAAACAGATCTTTGCCCACCGTCAATGGAGAGCCGGGTTGAGAATGGCTGATCGTATAGCGAGTGGATTGATTGATGTTGCGGGAAAGACAGTTATCGAGGTGGGTTCTTCGCGAACCAAGAGGCGGCAATTATTTAATAGTGATCAATTGGTGTTATAGATGGGAGCTGGGACAGGACTTCCTGGAATCATGAGCGTGGTTAAAGGCTCAGCGCTTGTACGTGGGCCTTACAGCACAACTGTTGATTAGTCCAGACTGGGTTACCTTTGAAACCAGACAGTACTCACGGACTATGATGACCCTAAACTTATTTCCACGTTACGGGGAAACGTACTGCAATGCCTATTAACTCCCAACGAACGTTCTCGTGCCAAGGTCATCCCCCACATATGGGGACAGGAAACCGAAGACCTCCTAGAGTACGTGATGTTCCATTCTAGCCGTACACCTCACTGAATCGATCTGTGATTTATTGGCGCTAGACCTTCTCCATCTGGCTACGACCTTATCCTGTGTGCGGATATCCTCTGGGACACATTCTCGCACCCATTACTTCTCCGTACACTGATTCCTCTACTCTCCCGTACTCCCACATCTCGTATCATTGTCATATCCGGGCTTCACACGGGTCGTGCTCCGCTTGCGCGTTTCGTTAGGCTTGCCTCTGCCCAAGGTCTCATCGTGGATGAGAGGGAGGTTTGACAGAGTTTGAGGTTGGAGGCGAGACAAGAGAATGGGATGAAGACTTGCCGGATGGTGATGTAAAGATAAGGAATCGGTGGACGCTGGAGTTCATGCTGATGTGGAGGGATAATTTGATCGGACGGGGAGAGAACTCAATGTAGGAAATTCAGGTTTATGATATTACACATGGGGACTACAAGCCAATCCTCGCTCCAACCATCATGTAAATGAGAATTGCTCGTCCGAAATGGCCCCGGATGAATGTACAGTACGTTTGCCTATAAATCCGTTCAATCCCGGCCAACTCCGCCCCTCCACCTCATTTCCGGATCAACAGCTTGAGAGAATATGAGAATAAGCGGTCGCTTTTATAACTCGGAGATGACGCTATGAGCTATCCTCCGACTTCTTTTTGTTATTGGCAAGCAGGAGGCCTTCCGAATTTCTTTTGCCAGAGTCTGGGTGGACCAAACACTCTTCCGATTGAGTCGCCTCCCGGCCCTGGAGCGTGAATTAGATTCCAATGTGGGCCTTGCTGCTCAATTTCTGCTCGGGGCCAGGGGTGCGGTGACGTTGTTGGACCTTTGACCAGGGGGTCATTCATCATTGTAAGCTGCCGGGAGTCGGGCTTGGGAGGATCTCGTCTATAAATCAAGGATCGACAGGCTATGTCCAGATGCCCAATAAAATTCAAAGGGAGGGGAATACCCTCTCAAAACTCCTCCCTTTTGACCTTTTAATTCCTCGTTCCCATACTCAGCCATAGAGCTATTTCGGGTGGCAATTGATGGTGCCAGCGCCCCCAACAGGGGTCTCCCCTGGCTCCATAAGTTCTATCATGACAGGATTTCCCAAAATCACGTAATTCTCGTTCGGATTTGTCACTTCTCCTGGTATTCGGGCGTTCATTCACGGAAGAACAGAACGTAGACCCCAAAGGTTCTCTCTTTTGTTAACAACGCCCTTTTGCGCCCTTCCTGCCGACACAATTTGGTGATGGTAAGGGCTTCTATTCTTTGTGATGAAGAGGCCGTACCGCCCCAGTCCATCGGGGAATCGGATGATCCAAAGACGGTCAGCCTCAGTCTGGGAAGGGAGTGCGTTGGCGGAGTGATCCATTTCATCAGTGCGGAAATTTACATGCAAGGGCCATTGTTCCCCCGTCGTCGTCTTATAACCCGCATCCAGGCGTGACATGTCCGTCAATGCCAGGGAACCTCGCATCCTCGTGTCTGGTGCCGTTGGTATCGGCATGAAGGAAAATATCAACCTGCCTATCTCCAATTCTATCCAGCTTGTTGATGATGAAGGTGTCTCAACCGACGCCATAGGATCCCATATCAATGTTATTATTACCCATGAAGATGTGTGTATGAGCCTCTCGACCTGATTGTTTTGACGTACTCTTTATCTAGAATAAACGGATCCTGGGAAAGATTGACCGAACAATTCTTCCTGTTCTCTGCTGGATTTTTCTCTTGCAAGTACTCGACAAATCGGTTCTTGGCTATTCTGTGGTGTTTGGTCTCGCAAATGACACCGTAAGAGGCCTTTGAACTCTAGCCTTCTTATAGCCTGCTCAACTTCAAGCTTAGCACCTCCGTGGCGACCAGGTCTCTTCCCTTAGTTCCATTGGCTATATTGCACAGCTCATTGCGCAGCCGCTTGCCGTATTTCTTGCAGTTAAAATTCCCTGTCGTGTCCTTGTGCCAACCCTTGTATTCTGCTGGGGCGCCACGCTTACTGGAATGGCAACGGCGAAAAACTATGCTGGCCTGATGACATCAAGATTTCTATTGGGACTCTTCGAGGCACCATGCTTGTCACTTTTTACAATTGTAGTGTCAAATTGGTATAGGAGGGCGGAACAACCTCTCAGGATTGCAGCATTTTATTCGATGACTGGGTTTTCGTAAGGAGATTGTGTTTAACGGGGTTGATCACACGGGACTGACTGGTTTTTACTCAAGGACAGTGCTCGGAAGCGCTCTGGTATACGGTCTCGGGCACATACAAAACAAGCTCCATGCTTACCAGATCATCTTTCTATCCTTTGGTTTGTGACGTTTGCATATTTTACTGATTTTCTCATGCCCACAATCAACCACGACTCACAGGAGCTATCACCGTTGCCAGCACCCCGATGATATAGTACGGACCCACCCACTCCCTTCCCCAATCGAAAAATCTCAAACCTTTCCTTCATGCACAGCTGGCGACTCGACAACACCGTCTCGGTCGCTCGTTTTCTTACTCCCGAGGATCGACTCAGAGCTATTGAGCGTCTCCGAGCGAACCAGTCCTCGTGGGTTTTGCACAATATAACCCCCGAGTTTAAGCTGTCCCATGTGTGGGAATGTGTGATGGAACCAAAGACCTACCTATTTGCCGGAATGACACTGCTACTGAATCTTGGTTCAAGTGTGCCGAATGCATTCGGACCGCTTATCCTAGTGAGTTTATGCGCCTCGGTTCATTTGTGTTTGTATGACGGAATGGCATTGAACCACAGGCTGAGCTTGGATTAAGCCCACACACTATTTCACTGGTCAATATCCCTTTTGGCATTATTCAAGCATCGGTCATCCTGTTTTTCTCTTGGGCCGCGTCCAGATTCAAATATAAGGGATTTATGCTTGTCATACTTCTGTTGCCTGTCGTGGCGGGGTGTGCAATGCTCTGTGGGTTTGCTATGGAAACTCTCCTTTCCCGCGTCGTAACCGCCAATTTTCCGGCGTCTTAGATGCGATTGGACAAGGCCACTTGGCCCGAGGTCTTCATGTATTCTCATATTGCCTGCTCGCCTTTCTTCTTGGTGGTAACGCTCTCATTCTGAGCTTGATAGCGGGGAACACGGCTGGTCGGACAAAGAAGGCGACGGTGCTTTCCTTTTGTGCGTAGCTTCTCCCCTCATGCCCTCTTTTATTCAATGCGGTACGTGAGTGGTTTTTCAGATCAAGTCTCTTATGCGTCGGGTAGCCTCATTGGTACATGTTTCGTTCAATGTCGTCTCTTGTTCGTTGAATGGGACACCGTTAGGTCCGCTTCTCTTTAAGTCTGTGGACAGGCCCACCGTGCATCTGGTATTAGAATTATCATATGTTGTTTATGCGCGCTCATTGGCATTGTTGTGTGGGTAATCTCCTTTGGCCCCCCACCTGTTCACAACTGACATACCTTCATTTCTTGCGTGAATGCATTTCCTGCCTCGACCAGGCTACAGTGCGTCAACTTTGCTTTCCTTAATCTGTTGAAACAGCGCCTATGCACCTCAAACGGGAAACTTGCCAAGATCCTAGATCCCATGATGACAACTCAACTTGGGAGTTCTGGCGAGGACCCAGTGATTGCTTTAGAGAGCAACAGGAATGGGGTGATGCAACTGGGCAAGAAGGCCTTTCTAGATTTGACAGATGGTGAAAACGATGAATTCGTATATGTGCTTTGAACAAGACAGGTGCCCGAAGGGATAAAGAATGTGATTAACGTTAGATTGCATGCTTGTTTCTGGTTGAGTCAAAGCTTTGCAAATAAGAAACCTCGGTTTCAAATGCCCCACACGTTTCCGGAAGAAGTGTCTCAAACCCGGGAAGGCTGGGAGGGTTGTACGCTGATTCAAGTACATATTTCACTGCTAGGACGTGCAAGCGAGCAGTGAAATTTAAAAGCAGTCCGCAGAGTGAATGAGGATCGATCTCAGCTCATGAGTGGATGGCGCATTAGTCACGAGAGAGAGCATATCCTCCAGGTATGCCTCCAGGTATACCCACAGTTTAAGAAACATCGACACATACGGGGCCGCGGTCGTCAGAGCAGGTTTTTGACCCTCATGAGTAGAGAGAGATGAGTGACGTATTGCCACATACAAACGCGGCCACAAAATAGAGTACAACAACAACAACCCTGCTGATGCCTTCTAAGAAGCGAAAGATATCTGACCTTACCACCAATGACGCAAATGTGCTCTTACCTGCACTCAACGAGTTCCAAACGGCCCTAGACGAAGACCTTCCATCTGGTCTCATCACTGCTTTAGAGGAATTCCGCACGAAGCTTGAAACTGTTAAGGCGGGCACAGATTTATTTACAACGGAGACTTGCTGATGCCGAACAGCACGTTTCTTTCTCTGAAGTTGACTCCTTCGTATTGGTGCAAGTCAACATAAAGTCAGGCCCTCTGTTCCTGATTCCAGAGAAGAGGGCTTTAGCGGAAGAACAGGGATCGGCAGAAATTGGGAGCAAGGCACTCTCAATGGAGGTTTTGAAAGAGCTCATAGAGTTGGTTCGAAAGCATGTGTCTGTTGTAGTGAGTAAGATGGATTAGGTTTTCCTATTTAACTCATTGTAGGCCTCTGCTAGACTGAGGCCAGGTGCAGAGTTCTGATAAATCTCATATTGCTCCGTGTTGCCTCCGCCATGTCTACTGATCAGATGGATGTCAATATCATACCCGAATATCCTATTCTAGGGGTACCGTGGTTCGGTTCGGTTCGGTTCAGAGGTAGAATCCCGCGAACCTGAACCCGAACCGGTTCGAAAAGAGGATGGGAAGGCCGAACCTGAACCGAACTTTGGTTCGAACCGAACCATGGTTCAACAACAGTTTGGTTCGGGTTCGAACCGGTTCAAACAGACACCTATAATGAGATGTATTTACAGCGGAATTAATATATTGCAAGAAGTATTATACATCCTCTGCACGCTTTGCTGCCTCCTTAGCCTCATATTCTTTCCACCTTTTGAGTTGTTCTTGAGCAGCCATTTCTTTTGCGTCCTTCTTTTCCTGCTGATATCGTAGCAGGTTGGCTTTGGAGATCTGAATCCGGCCAAGGTGTTCAGGTAGCAGGCGATTGCGGCTCCCAGTATCGGTATGCTTAGCTGCTGAGAATGACCGCTCACATGGCACGGATGATCCGGGGACTGGAAGAATGTCCCATGCCATTGTTTGCAACACTGGATATGCGGAGCCCCTGTTCTATGTATCATAGAGCCTGCTGAGTGTGATGCGGGGATTTTTAAAGTTAATATACGTACCTTCCAAAAATCCAGCATATCGGTACCAGGTGGTTCAAGAACATCGCTCATGTAGCGATTCAGCTCAATGTATGGATCGCCAGCCTCGATCTCTTGAGTATGGCACATCCGGCTGGCAGCAAGACGACGTGATATGGCAAATGTTTGTGACACAGATGACACCGATGTTGACAATCTCGTGGCCTCAGGTGGAATAGTGCTTCCCGAGGACTGGGTCACAGGAGTGATGTGGGCTTGATGGTATTCGAGGAACTGAAAGCGGCTCAGTCAGGCCTGGGAAATGGGAAGTAAAAAACTTACGATCTTTCGCACAGCGTCCATTGCTTTTGGTTGATATTATTCTGGAGCCCAAAAGTACTTAATGTATGTATCTTTTGTTGTGGGGTCAAGGACTTGTGATAAAAAAGACATTAGAATGATATGAGATGTATGATTTGGCGCATACTAGTACTCAGCACTGCTAAGGGCGATTCATCAGTGGCATCATAGTACTTTCCGAGGAGCGTAACTCCATCCTGAATTGCGCTAGATATCGCAGCGAAGGCAGGGTCTTTCCCTTTGTTCTCCCATGAGGTCATGAGCTCTTCATATGCGGAGAGGAGGCGGGAGAAACTGGGGATATCTGACCCAGAGAATGCTTGCTGTGCATCGCCAGCAACCTGATTACGTGCTGTCGTAAATATAACGGGATCTTCCCAGTGAAATTATATTGCTCTCTTACCTCTAGGATATCAATGATACGCTGTATCATAATCCAATCCTCATCTGTGAATACCCATGATTGGTATTTGGGAGTTCGGCCTCTTGCTTTGGGACGGAGCTTTTTCGGTCAGCATGTTGGACAAAATGCATAATCGCCTATATGAATAATCAGAACCTGAACACAATTGAATCAAAGCGTCATACTGGTCGTAATTGCACAAATCGCTTCAGGAGCATTAGCCAAGAGCCCCAACGCGTATTCCCATACATTACAAGCTCCAATGGTGCGATGCCAACTTTGTTGCAGCACTCTTGTAGATAGTGTTTTTGTGAGGCCCCGGCCCATGTCTATATTCCGCCCACAACATCAGTTGATGTTGTGTTGTGTAATAATTATGTCGCGACGCTAATTTAGCGTCGCGGAAGCTTCTCTATTTATTTGTGCCGAGAATGTATTAGATTGTATATAAACCCTCGGGGTAGCTGTAAAAGGCGGATCAGCCTTTACTTCTACCCCGTTAATATACAGCAAACTCAAGCGTATACTTAGACGGACTTCTGAGGCCTGAGGCGAACGGGGGAACGGAACGTTACCGTCCCCAAACTAGTAAGAAACCTTTCACTTTTTTACGCTCTATTCTCTTTTCCATTCTCAGCACCGTGTTACCGGCGCCGAAACCCCATTTGGCAACGCGCGCGTCGTCGGTGTCAGAACCGTACGAAGGTTCGCCGAGGGTAGCCGTAGGCGACCGAGCGTTGCCCGCTAGTGGTAAAGGCGTCCTACACCCGACCGAGCTTTTAGCGAGGAATAAACCCCACCGATCTCGAGGCCGAGGCTACTTAGGCGAGTGAGCCAGGATTTCGGCTTCAACGACTCTAGGAGGAGCGTTGCGCCTCGTTCTCGACGCGGTCCCGATACTTAGAAGGTCAGAGGTCTCGCGGGGACAGAGGTAAGCTCTAGGGGGTAATTCTAGTTGATTTCGAACTCCAGTACAAGCATTAGCTACAAGCTGTATATAAGCGCTAGGGAACTGAATGGGGAATAAGTCGCCAGATCTCGCGGAGATTGCGGGCGGAGAAAGGAAAGAGGAAAACAAACAAAGAGCACGTGTTCACGACAGCGAAGGTCAAGCGTGACCTTCGCCGCGAGGTAACAAGGTGCGGCGAAGCATGGAACAACAGGTCGCGGCGCTCTGCACCGCTAGGTCGTTCAACGACAATCAAGAGAGGGGTTGTGGAGAGGTGGCGGGAAGTGGTTAGACGGCGACGGGCGGCGAGCGGAGTGTGCGGGGAGTGTTCGGGCGTGGGAGAGGGTCAGGGAGGAGGTCGTCTGCCCCCGGGGAACGCCGGGTCGTGACAGTATCCCCCTCTTAGGACTGAACCCTTGAAGTCCCAAGGAACTGGCGTGGGAACCGGTTCGGCTGAGCCCGAAATTTTGGTTCCGCCGGCACGGTGATCGAACTTACCACCACAACAACCTGATCTTCCAACCTCATGGCTCCCAAGAAAAATCCAACGGATATAAGGACGTGGAGCAAGGAGGACATCGTCGATCAGTCCGATGACGATGTAGAGCTGATGGAGCAGAAACAGGCGGAGAGGTTGCGGCGTCGCAGGGCTGAGATTGCGCATCGTGAGGCCCAACAACAGGAAGAGGCGGCCAGGGCTCGAGCTGAGGCTGCACGTCTCGCTGCTGAGGAGGAGAGGCGATCGAAGGCGTCAGATGTGGTCGCAGGCAAGGTGAGTACCCCGATCAGTGTGATCTTTGCCAGGAACCCTTACTGATCGCCCTGATCAAAGCGTCCTGCTGCTACATCAGTGGCGGGGGAAGGACTGCCCCCCTGCGAACGTTGCGTGAAGAGAGGCGTGGAGTGTGTCAAAGGCAACAGCGATCGTGGCATCTGCGCCGCATGTCAGAAGTCCAGGCAGAAGTGTGTACGTGGAGCGGGGACGCCTCAATCTACGAAGCGACCTCGTATCAAAGCGCCGAAAGGAGAGGGGTCAACGATGGATGTGGACGATGTGGAGACGGAGGAAGATGAGGTGGTCAACGAGAAGGACAAGATCTATGATGTGCTTCGCGACATCCATCAAGCGATCTCTGGTCTAACCGCCGTGGCGGGACGATTGTTGGAACACGTTTGCGACACTGAAGAGAGGCGGTTGATGGAGGCGAGGGCGAGGCGCGAGGCGAGGGAAGCGGGGGAGAGGGAGGCGAGTGTGACGGGGTCTAGGGTCGATCATCCTGCGACGTCTACTTCCGACTCCTACTCCACTTTGTTCTTACATGATCCTTAAGCGCAATCCATCCATTCCGTCCCGTGCCTTAGGCGCGATTTGGTCCCGGCTTATCCGGGTATCGTGAGTGAAAGTCCGCAACGAGGTCTGAAGCGTGACCAAGTTCGGTCGCGGGGAGCCACTCAGTCTCTTCTGTAGTCCCTTCATAACCGTCCCAACGTACAAGGTACAACAGCTTGCAGCTTCGCCGGCGATCGATTTTAGAGTCGAGGATCTCGGCGATCTCATATTCAAGTTCGCCGTCGATTTCGATTGGCGGCGGTGGCGGCTGCGTGCGGTTCGGGATGGGGTTGGGAACAGCGGGCTCAAGTTGGGAGACATGAAAGACTGGGTGCACAGCCTTCATGGTGTCGGGGAGGCGGAGAGTACGAGAATGAGAACCTGGCTGCGCGATGATCTCGAATGGCCCAAGGTTCTTATCGGCGAGCTTCGCCGAAGGCCTAGTGGTGCGGAAGTACTTGGCCTTCACGAATGCGGAGCTGCCAATGCTGAACGGGGGAGCAGGTAGCCGTCGAGCATCCGCAGGGCCTTGGTAGCGTTGCTGTGCGTGGTTCATTTCCTCGCGTAGGAATTGGTGGAGAGAGTCGAGATCGACTGAGTACTCCTGGGCTCGCGCCGAAGTCAGATCTCGCTCGGGGTGTACGGCAAGGTTCGGGTGGTAACCTTTGTTCGCGAAGAACGGTGAGACACCGGTTGTAGCATTCGGCGCGTTATTATAGGCGAACTCCGCCAGGGGCAGGAGCTCAGACCAATTGTCCTGCTGGTAGTTACAATAGACGCGCAGATATTGCTCCAGTGTTTGGTTCATTCGTTCGGTCTGACCGTCGCCTTCGGGATGGTAACCCGAGGTGAAGTGTAGGCGAATGTCCAGAGCCTTGCCAAGGGAGCGGAAAAAGTGGGAAACGAATTCTGGACCCCTGTCGGGGGTTATGTGGGATGGAACGCCGTGCTTGGAGAAGACGTGGAGGAGGAACAACTTCGCCAACTCCGGGGCTGTTATGGTATCGGTCGTTGGCACGAAGACGCACTGCTTTGATAGCCGGTCGACGATAACCAAGATAGCCGTGAAGCCGGAGGAGTCGGGAAGTTGCTCAATGAGATCCATTGATATGGAGTGCCACGGGCGTTCGGGGATAGGTAGCTGTTTGAGCAAGCCATACGGCTTGTGTCGTGGGGTCTTAGCGCGGGCGCAAGCCGTACAGGAGGACACATAGTCCTTGACGAATGTGCAGACGCCCGGCCAGGTGTACTCTCGGCGTAACAGATCCAAGGTTCGGTTCTGCCCGAAGTGGCCAGAGAGCGGGTGGTCATGCTTATACCTCAGGATGCGAAGCCGGAGGTCGTTGGCATCGGGGACGTAGATTCGGTTGTCTAGCCGTAATAGGCCATCTGCGTCTCGAGACCAACGGGAGTCCTCTGGGATCGGGCCGGCGAGGTAGTCGGCGATGGTGGGATCAGCGGGGAGGGCGGCTAGGATGTCTTTGTGGATGGCGTTGACGTTGACGAGGGAGCTCGCTCGTAGCATGGGTTTGGCGAGGTATGTAGCTCTTAGGGAGGACGCAAGCTGCTCCTGTGTGAACACCGGTCGGAAGTTCTGAGGGTTTACGCGAGCGTAGTCCCTATCCCCCTCTTTGGGGTAGAC